GATCAAGTAGCGGGTGCCTGTTGCACGTACACTGCGCGAATCAGATTCTCAACAATAACAACTAAACAATATTTTCCAAAAAAAGGTATTGCAGAGCAAGTCGTGGCCTTCACTGGCGAGCCCCCCACTGACGCAACGAGGCACCAGTGGGGGCATGAAGGGGGCAGAGAATGCAGAAGTCTCAAGACATCTTCAAGCATAGCTAAGCGCTTCCTGGACATGGATATGCAAGATCTGCCCATTGGGTACATCTACAGGAGAAAATCTTGTGAGAGCACCCGCGGCCTTGTCGGCTGGTCAAGGACGCTTCTACGAGCCATCGCGCGGCGCAGCACTGACATCGCGACACGGCTCACTGCCCTTCGTGGCGTGCCGGCCCTGCTCCAGGACTCGGGGCAGGGTAGGGGCAACCTAGCAACAGTTCTCTTGTTTTACTATGCTGATTCCGATCTGCCTTTTTACATGTAGTGGCGCCCTCGCACAAGTACGTTGAACAGGGCTTGGGACTTGGCCTTTTCTGAACAGGCACGTTACCTACACGTGCTATGCCTAGGTTTTGGCTGTTAGATGTGACACTCAGAAAGCTGGAGCATCCTGAACCAAGAGCATGCGGGCGTTTCAGCAAGTTTGAACTGTGCCCAGTGGCATCCCTGATCGGATTCGATTGCCGACTAGATGCTGCGAATTTGATTGCAGCTTTGAAGAAGTTTGCCCCTGCACAAAGTCGCCGGAAGGGATCCTTAGACCCGAAAGTGGAGCCATAGCTTCTCAAGTGCAAAGAAACCGCCTCCTGCTCTCTCCAAACTGGCTCCAAAGGCCCTGGACGCAGTGAAAACCTCCAGCGTGGCTGCCTTGGCGATCTCTTTGCTGCCTGGCCTCTTCATCTCGTTTAATTTTACGAAAGGATTGAGCACAGACGAACAACAAGACAGCAGGTCAGAACAGTAGGTCAGCTGAACCATGTACGAAACAAACAGAGATTGCCATCGCCGTGCTACAGATAACGCTCCCTTCGTTGGAATCTTGTTGCCTCAACCAAAACGACGGAAGAGGACGGCAAAGGGGAATGAGGACTTCAGCACTCAGCCACATAGATTGAGTGCGCTGCTTTGAGACTTCAAAGAATTTGTCCAAGCCCGAATCATGCTCATTTGTTTAACCGGATGGCACAACGCCGATGCTGAGCAGGAGAAAGGAAGAGGATAACGTTTCAGGAGCCACACCACTTGTTGGCTTGTTGGCTGCGGGGCACCCTCATGCCGTGTGAGCCAGACGTGCATGAAATGAGCAGCTGAACTGAGCCCTGCCGCACAGGAGGGATTTCACATCCATACAGGTTACCCTGATGGGATTGTCAACTTCTCGAGATCAACTGTACGCTTTACTAATCTGCATGGACAAACCTTGCGGTCTTGCAGCCACAGCGCATCGACTCAGCAATAAGGTTAGCTACTTTGGCGGCACGGCGCCTTGGCTGAAACAAGAATGCCGACACAGGCCTAGGTTCTGATGCGTGTGCGCAGACCGCTAGATGACAGCGCACAGACCTGCCCCTATAATTTCTATAATTTAGCAGGGGCAGGCGCAAGTCTTTTGAGCCCTTACTTCGCTTCTGCCCTCACAAGTTCTGGGCGCAGCTTCGCTTCTTCGTTTGGAAGGTTTCCTCTTAAGCGTTGCACCCCTCGCTGCCAAAAAAAAACATGCCCAGGTGCAGCCCAGCACGCCGAGGAAATCCGGCCCCTGTGGCACGGGCGATGCAGCGCTTCAGAGCAACGTGAGCTGCAGGGATTGGGCATGTCGGGTTCAGGGGTCAGCGGGAGTCAAGGGCCAAGGGCTTGCTGAGTGGTGTGCTGAGCCCTTTCCTGGCCTTGTGTTGTGCATGCCTTCCTGGAAGTCTCGTTTAGGGCTTCCCGTTCTGGGATTCCGGAACAAGTCTATTCAACCAACGAGGGTTTCTATGTATACTTGGTGAGGTTTAGGTTTCATGTCGTCGGGGTTTCGTTTAATTAGGCATTGTGCCGCTTGTACGTCTTCTGACGCCCAGGACTTTTCCACCATCCAGACAGCTGGCTGCATGTTCATCTCTCGGCTTTCCTCCGATGGTCCCTCGGTTGCATCGGCACAGGTTGCCAAATTGATGCACGCGATGGTATACCTGGGAAAGGGGCTTGCCGACTTGGAATCCTAAAGTCACTCACAACTTGAGCCACCTGTTGTGTAGACCCTCTACCCAGAAAAGAGCCGCCTCGCCCGAGCCGATGTGAAAGTCGACAGTTGCTCCGAATCGATAGATGCTCCCCCCCCGGCGCCAATCTTTTCCAGTTTGACCAGCTGAGTTGTAGCAACAAATCAAAAACCCTGCAGCCCGAGAGGCTCCCAAAGAAGCCCCCGCAGACCAGGTGAGCAGGCCGCCGCACAGCTTGGGGAGCTTGACTGCGTCGATCTGGCGCCCAGACTTGGGGCACAGGTTCAAGCCACTCATGGTTTTTTCTCACCAAGAAAGGCGGTCTCGCAGGGTCTTGGGGCAAGTCGATTTTCAGTCAGAAGGGGCGCTTTGTTCGGGAGGAGGTGGCGGCTTGTGGGAGACCAGGAGCTTGTTTGTCCGCTTGTTCGAGCTTGTTGTTGAGGATGTCCTTGTGTATTGGCTTGGGGCTGCATTTCGGAACTTAAGTGCTTTTGCCTACGCAGCAAAAAGACACAAAAAGGGCCCAAGTTCCCACCCTGCGGTGTTCGAGTCTACCAGTCCCACGAAGATGCAGACACCTGCAATTCTAGGATAGATTACGTGACCGCGTGTTACTGTATTGCCACGGGCTGGTGCATTTCAGGTGTTTGACACACTGGAGGCCGAACGGGGAATTGCAGTTGGAGAGAGGGTCTTGCGTCTGGCCGCTGGCGAAGAAGGAGTCCAGAATGAGTCTACAACTGCAAGGAGTTTACAGGAACATTGCATCCTGGATGCCGCATCGTTCCATGCAGCAGCTCAAGGGACTCACAACTTGAACATCCAAGGCCGATGATTTGAATCAAAGAGGGGGACTGTGAGCCAAAGTCTGTGCAGGCCCACCCCGAAGACGCGGACGTCGCTTGGTGGGCATTTCTCGCCCTGCAGAACCTGACCTGCGGCCACTTGGGCAAGCAGGGCTGTAGGCCGGTGAGTGGGCAGGTTGAGTTGGTGAGTCAGGAAAGGCAGGGACAACAGGTTGAGTTGGTGAGTCAAGAAAGGAAGGGACAAAGACTCAAACATGATGTTCTTCAAGCTCTCACTGTAGAAGGCACAAGCATTCCTTTCAATGATTCCTGACAAGCTAGCTGGCTGGTTCTTAGTAGGGAATGAGGGTATAAGGCCCCCTATAGAAAGAGTAATTATACATATATATATGTATGTATAGGGCCCTAATTCCCTCATTCCCTACTAAGAACCAGCCAGGCTATACAGCACCCAGGAACCTCGGAGCCCTCGCGTGCGCGACGGCAAAAGGCGCAGGATTTGGGCTGGCTGCCGCAGATGGTGCAGCGCGTTGAGGCGCGAGGAAGGGTTGAAAGGATGCCTGTTGCTTATGATTACGTCTGTGTGATGGGCGGATATGAGGGGCGGTTGCGGAAGTTGTGGAATAATGTATCACAGGAAGTCCAGCGAATTGCAGGCCACTAAATTTTCACTTGTGGTCAACAGGTGGTGCTTAGCACACTGAGCCTGTAGTACGAGAGGGCGTGCCCTGCAGGCTGAGCCCTTTGCCGGGCTGACATCGCCGACACTTGGCAAATATGTGTAATACATATATATATATGTATATATACATATGTACATATATGTATATATATATATATATATAGATGTACGTGGCTTCTGAGGTTGAGCCACCCCCCTTCCCCCCCCCCCCCCCCAAGCACAGGTCCTAAAGCCCATCAAATAAAATAAAAATAACTAAAAAAACCTCAAACCTCTTATTCAGATTCCAATAATCATGAATAAAATGCAACAAGGTAGTCATACAATACTATAATCGTGTAAGAATATGATACAATAGCAAGCAGAGACGGAGAAGAATCAAGTTCCTTGCCGAGGAAGTCCCAGGGCAGCAGCTGCAGGTCGCCAAAGTCCGTCCTTAGCCGGATGTCCAGCATCTCGGCAGGAGGGGTTGAGAATTGAGGGAGGAAATAAGGCCTTCATAAGGGGTTTCCGATTTTAGGGGTACCTTTTTTTCATCTGGTGATGCCCGGCGTGAGACAAAGGGGTGCCCTTTTTTGGGGTCCCTTTGAGGGGTTTCTATTCAATTTGGGGTATAAATGGGGTAATTACCCTATTTTGAGAAATGCCCATAAGGATGCAACCCCTTTTCCAAAGACCAGAGCTGTAACCAGATGTGACCTCGAAGTGCTGAGCTAGGTTCCAGGTCTTTGCTGTCCGGGACCGGGACTTCGGGTACACTGCTGCTTGGGCTGAAGCTTCTATCACTTTGGTCGTTTTTTTAGCAGTAGGCATAGTAAGGAAGCCAGGCGCTAGACGAGCAGGCAAGTGAGAACGATGCCTTCCATGGACACGGCCCAGATCTCTCAAAAGATGGATCCTGATGGAAGGAGCGGCATGCAAAGCCCGCCGGTAAGCCACTGCTTGCCCCAGGAATGCGAGACCGCGGGTGGCGCGGCTGGAGACCATTTTCGTTGCTTCGATTCATTGCCTCTGCAGCGGCTTGGACGAGGCCCGGAGCATTCTGCCGGCGATGGCTATGCATACTGTGTGGCCGCACAAGTCCTTAAGCGCCGTTGGTCTCCGTAGTAAACTCCCCATACTAGCAACGCGCGTGGTCGTCAACAACAGCAGTTTGGCAAAATAGTGGCCAGGTGCAGGTGCAAGATATTGTTGCAAGACCTTCGCCAGAAGCACCGGTTTCCGAGTGGCCGAGTGGCAGACACATGCCCTCCATCATAAGGTTGATCTAAACCAGGGGTCCCCATGAGGGCACTTGAAACCTGCTTCCATCACAACTCGGCACATCATGGTGCAGGCTGGCCTTGAATGCCTCCTCGCTGATGAAGTCCTCAACCTGCACCTCCTCCGCAGGAAAGTGGGGGCACATGCCTGGAGGCTACCAATCATGTAAACATGAAAGGGCCTCAAATCCTTGTTGGCGACTTTTGGTACAGGTGGCCTTTGGGTGGCCGAAGCTCTTTCAGGTTCAATCATGTTGGGTGTTCGGCTATGAGCTTGGGGCAAAGCAAAAGCCCTTCCGTGCAAGCGGACCTTGCTACAGAGTGCCATCTGTCTCCACACGAAGGTAGCATCTATGCCAATCTATGCAAGCTCATGGACCCCTCCTGAACTGAGGCTTTTCTTAGCCTTGGATGGCTCCGCCTTTCCACTTGAGACACGGGAACGGGCGTGTCTGCTGCTCTGCTACCTTGCCAACTCATCTGAGAAGGCAGCGAGTGATGGGAGGGGCGGGGGGGGGTTGCGGACCTGCCAAGAAATGTAAATTCGGATATTCATGGCTCCGCTTGTGGACCAATCGCCGGCACGAAGTGATCCTCAGACTTGCAGGAAAGGACTAATTAGCCGTAGCCAGGAGGATTCAAGGCCTGTAGCTTCCACGGACGATACGTAAATATTGACTTAAGAGTTTGCCCTTACTCCCCCTTACCCCCCCTTACCCCCTCTTGTCCCCCCTTACCCCCCCTCGAGAGCCGCGGTCCATGAGGTCAAAAGTGCTATCTCCCGGGGTGGGTCGGCACTTTGGCAGTCGATACTGACGACCCTCAAGGACTGAGACCTGCGGCTGTGCAGAGAGAGAGAGGGCTCAGGAGCGCAGAAGAAGAAGAAGAAGAAGAAGAAGAAGAAGGAGGTGGAGTAGGAGTAGGAGTAGGAGTAGAAGAAGAAGAAGTCGGAGTAGGAGTAGGAGTAGGAGTAGAAGAAGAAGAAGAGAAACATGGTCGGCACGGCCTCTAGTGATCAAGTGTCGGCACGGTGTGGCGCGTGGCTTTGCTGCTGGCAAGGATCACTTGGCAGCGGCAGAGGCACCCGTTTGAGAGTTTCCTTGGGGGTTGGGGGGGGGGGGGGGGGGGTTCAGGGTTTAGAGTTTAGTTTTTAGGGTTTAGTTTAGGGTTTAGGGGGCTACTAAGTTTTTGTAGGAAGAGACTATAGGATCACCCCCTTGATTTGCGGCGAAGGCTGAGGAGAAGGAGCCTTGGCGACATTTGGCGACTGAGAACCCTCGCAGTTCGCAGAATGACCAAGCTCTCTAAAACCTGAGCAGCAATAGGGTGCCAACAAAAAACCCTACACCCTGATGCAAGCGAAGTTGATATTGCGGGATGCAAGAGCACAGCTCACACGCCTTTCTCTAAGCTCTATGTCAAGCAAAGTCACCATCTATGCCATACTGAAGGAATTCGGTGACACCGAGCAAGCCACTGACGAGCTCCTGTTGGACCTACCGGTGCCGGGCGAGGCCCAAAGCTCTGCTGCGTGGCGGTTGGAGACACTGGAAGGGGAAGCATATGAGACCCCTAAATACTCTAAACCCTAAACCCTAAAAGCATATGAGACTGAAGTGTTCAGATACTTGGTGAATGTGCCTAGCTGAAGAGCGAATACAAGGAAGCTCTCATCTGCTGGATGACGGCTGAAGGCCTCTAAGTAGGACCCAGACGAGTGTGGTTCAATCTCGAAAGTAATGTACCTACACTCTACATGTACACACACATAGACTATATATATATATATACAGACAGTTTTTCCCACGCCTATAGTTAGATGAAGACCCGCATGGCAAAATTCCAAGAAGACACCGCCTTCAAAAGTGGCGATCCGAAGGCTGTGGAGAACTGCTGGCTACGTGTACAAAATGTTAGCCGACCTGGTTTTCTCCTGGAGGCTCATGGTCGTTGGGGCATTGGGGCCGAAGATGTTCTCGCCCTCGGGAAAAATGTGAGATTGCATCGGGCGTCGAGCTTGAAGCTGCTTGAGACCCTCGAGGCTATGAAGGCCCTGCCTTACGAGACTCGCATCCAGATCACCGGCTGCCCTCTGGCAGCATTCAAGCTTACTGGGCGGCGCACAGGCAACTAGCAACCAACCGTCGTCGCGAGCCTTAGTGAAGATGTGCTTCCATCATGGAGATCGTGCGGCTGTACAGGTGCAATCTGGGCAGCATCAGAATCGTGAGTCACCTTAGCTCACTAGCAATCAGTGGGACAACTTGTGCGACTCTGTCGTAGCTACTCACTTCGCTCCCTTGTCCTGTCCGACAAGGCACGGCCTGGCGCAAACTTGCGCTGATGGCATCCGTGGGTCGGGGTCGCGACAGGGAGGCTTGCACATGGCTTGCACCCTGTTGAGAGAGCCTTTTACGGATTCCTTGGTCAAATCCTTCGCCAAGGGAACACGTGCAGTGGGGTCATGTACTGCACTGAATCGTACCGGTGTTGAGTAGGGCCAAGGGTTGGCTCTGCACGTGACACGTGACTTGCCCCATGTTCAGGGGCAGTTGGGTCTCCCCCGACGTGCCCCTTGCACAAGCCAGCATTCACTGCTGTAGAGACATGTGGGATCACGGGTTGTGATCACACGCAAAAAGAGACCACAGTATCATTTCCTTCTTGAAACTTGGCCCCATCATCTAAAGCACCCCGGGGCTTTGTCGGTTCAGAGGCCGCGGTGGCTGGGCTGCCTCTTGCAGTGCCTTGGACGTATCAAGTTGGGCTTCTGCCAAGAGATTCCCGTGCATTCCGATGATGAGTTTTCAACCCTGCATCGAGAAACTTACTGGTTTTGCAAGTCTGGGTGATGACGAAACCCAAACTCTACGAGTTCCCAACACTTGCAATACCCGTCGACACAAGCCCCCTTAGTGAGAACGGATGTTCTTAAAGGAAACACAAGGACAGCACTGCCCCATTCTGGAGTGTCGATGTCGGGCTCTCTGGGCACAAGGTGGAGCTCGCCGTGGCGGCACTCCGCGGCCATGAGCGCAGCGCCGAGGCGCAGCAGCGCGCGGCCATGGCGCTGCAGGTGAGGGTTTAGGGTATAGTACTCCTGAATGGTTCTCTCATGTGTCTGCTTCACAATGGCGTATAGAGTGTGGGGGGCTGCACCTGCAGGAGGGAGTTCGAGTTGTGGGGGCTATGGGGCTTTGCAGGTGCTCCCGGTAGGGTCAACGGTAAATATGTGCAGGGATCCTCTTCTAGTATGTTGAAGGTGCAATCCCCCACATGGAAGATGCAACCCGGTTCCCTGACCCCATCCAATCGCCACTCTGCCCTGCAGGCTCTTCTCCGCCTCTCGACAGCCTCGGGCGGCGAAGGTGAGGATGCAGCCATTGCGCGGCTTGCCCCTTGGCAAGGGTGTTTATAAGGGCTCGATGAGGGGGATTGGTTGTGACTTCACGAGAGTACTATTATGGGAGGTTCCTGTGTTCCACCTCCGATGGTTTGGGTCCGGGTTTAGAGAAATAAATCCATCAAGGGATCCCCCAGCAGATCCAATGGGGGTTTCTGAAATTAGGGGTACCTTATCCTTCTAAAAAGGAGATCCTACCATCTGGGGTATATTTTAGGGGTCCCCCATTTTCGTAAACCCCCCCAATGATGCCAGTGGGAGTGCGCTTGAGGTGGGCATGGGTGCCGTGCCCTTGCTGGTGCGGGCCCTCCAGAACTACCCAGATGATCCGGAACTGCAGGTCCTGTTCGGGCGAAGACCTGGGACTCTCTTTACCTACAGTTTAGTGGGTTATACCTACTAAGTAAGGTTTAGTGACGAAGCTGTAGGTAACTGGAGTTCCAGGTCGGGCCTGTAGGGACAGGTTCAGGCTTGTTGCTGGATGTCAGTCTTATCCAGGGACGTGACTGGAGGAGTTAAAGCCGATGTTGAACTCCCTGTCAAGAGTGCGTGATCTTCGCATAGCTAAAATTTACTGGTCTCCAGAGTCCAGAGCGCGCCACAACCCGTAACCAAAAAACCACAAAAAGCATGGACCCTCAAAAAGCGCCAACAAAAAGAAAAAGAGCAAAGGATGCGGAACAGCACGCAAGAAGCTGAGTGGACAGTTGAAGAGGAGAGGGGCCTCGATGTTCTGCGCGTCATCGCCACTGGGGGCCGCATTCCTGAAGTTGAGGACACCTTCCTGAAGTTGGGGGGGGGGGACTTGGGGTTTAGGGTTCAGGGCAAAGTTTAGGGTTCAGGGTTTGGGGAAATTCGGGTTTGTTACATGATACTTAAGTGGCTAAGCATGTGTACAGTCTGTTGGGCTTGTAGGGCGTGCGCTTTGGGAGTTCAGCTTAGATGCAGCCAAGTTGCAATTGCATCAAGCTAAACCTTATCAGGAAACTCTAAGCCCTCACAAAGCGAGAGGTGTACCAAAACAAGACAGCCTTGTGGTGTGCTGAAGACCTAACCGGAACCATCCGTGCAATGCAGGATAGCCTGTCGGACCTTGGGGTTGTCCAGATGCTGGTGGAGGCTGCTAGACGGGTTTGGCAGGGTTCAAGCTTGGGCTTTAATGACAAGTCATTACGTGCCTGAAGTGGCACCGGCAGCTGGCGCAGTCCATGGTTTGCGGTAGGCGCGATGCCAGTTTGCAGCATGAACTGCCTCTGCCTCTGACTCTCTCTCGCTCTCGCCCTCCCCCACCGCTATCTGACCCACTCTTCCCTCTCCTCTGCCTCTGCGAGGCTTTCTCTCTCTCTCTCTCTCTCTCTCGCTCTCCTCTCTCTCGCTTCTCGCTCTCTCTCTCTCTCTCTCTCTTCTCTCTCTTTCTCTCTCTCTTCTCCCTCCTCTCTTCTCTCTCTTCGCTCTCTTCTCTCTCTTCTCTCTCTTCTCTCTCTTCTCTCTCTTCTCTCTCTTCTCTCTCTTCTCTCTCTTCTCTCTCTTCTCTCTCTTCTCTCTCTTCTCTCTCTTCTCTCTCGTCTCTCTCTCCTCTCTCTTCTCTCTCTTCTCTCTCGTCTCTCTCCCTCTCTCTTCTCTCTTCTCTCTCGTCTCTCTCTCCTCTCTCTTTCTCGCTCTCTCTCTTCTCTCTCTCTCTCTCTCGCTCTGTCTCTTCTCTCTCTTCTCTCTCTTCTCTCTCTTCGCTCTCTTCGCGCTCTTCTCTCTCCCTCTCTCTTTCTCGCTCTCTCTCTCTCTGTCTCTCGCTCTGTCTCTGTCCGGTCTCTCTCGTTCTCTACCTCCCACTCTTGAAAGCAGCATCGAAGAGTGTTCAGGTGATGAACCTGAATATCTCGAAGCCCAAGATCCAGGAGCTGTGCAGATGTGTGTTTTGCTTGCAATGGCTTACGATGTACCGACCTAACAGTCCGCAATACTGTCACCTACCGGGAGCTTTCCGCGGTTCCAAAAACCGCTGCCCTCAACCATGACGTCATAAGTAGGCTTGGTTTCACAGCGTCAAAAGTAGTGAAGTAAACAAGGGCAAGATGCCACAGGTGTTCACCATGCTCGGCACGCCATGCGTTCATCGTAGCTTGGAAACACTCTTCGGCGCAACACGCCCAGCGGAAGGAGTATGGGCTGACTCTTCTTTCTGAGATCGGATGGCAAGGACTGCCGTTCTGCACGGGCGCGGTAAACTGAGTGAGGCTACCAATGCGAGCTGGCACAGCCATGGCGCACGCAGGCATGTGGGCAATGCTGGGCCTTGGCAGCCTTGGGGACATGAAAGCAGACACGTGCACAGGAGGAGATCGGCAGCTGGAGATTCTGACCACACTTGGGGTCGAGGCTGCGGAAAGTCTGGCTGCAGCCTAGGGCTTCTGCACGCATGATGTTGTCAGGGGC